TGTGCGTAAAATCGTATTCCCTCAGAGTTTGTTCAAGTCCACAAACCTCTGTCTGTGACTGAGCCCCTCTGACATGGCTCCTCTAGTCACTAGAAGATTCCGACAGTGGTTGCTTTCGTAATCGCTTCCAACATAAAAGCTCCTTAACGGAAACACGTCTTCTGGACTCTCTGCGTGACAGTTTCCGGCGAGGAGTGGGTGTCCCTACAGGAGGTCCGGAAACCTCACCACTGTTTTCGCTGGAAGTATCTCTGAGCCATCCCCCAGCTCCCTTTCCCTCAGTTCAGCTTCTCTCCCCTGCTGGTTTCCTCTTCAGCTGCTGAGTCTCTTCCAACCTGTCTGAGCCCTTTCACCTCCCTCAGTTCAGCTTCTCTCCCCTTGCTGGTTCCCTCTTCAGCTGCTGAGTCTCTTCCAACCTGTCTGAGTCCTTTCACCTCCCTTCCTTCCGATGGCAGTTCCCTGACATCCACCTCCCCTCCAGGGCCCCCTTCACCCCCTCTCGCCCCCTCCTCTACGGGCGGTGAGGAGGCAAAACCCCGGAATGAACTTCCTTCATCTTCCGATGTCTCGAACACTTCTCTCCACCTGTTGCGGTTCCTGGTCTCGAAGCACTCCTCCTCCTCCGAGTCCATCTCCCCTTCCCCTTCCGATTCTGGGAATCCTTCCAACTCCTCCTCCTCCTCAGTGGTCCCAAAGTATTCCCTCCGGAACCTCTCCACAGGCTGAGGTTTCCTCGGGAACCTTTGATGGAACGTTTCTATCAATACCTCGTCATTGATATCTTCGGCCATTACCCACGTGTTTTCTGACTCCGGTTCTCCTTCCCATGCTACCAAATACTCCACCTGATTCCCCTTCCACCTGGCATCAAGGATTTCTGCCACATGACTGCTGCATTCTCTTTCTTCTATGACCGGTCCCCGAGTGGCCATCCCTTCTCGTCCCCCCTCGTACGGTGACAGTAACGACCTGTGAAATACTGGGTGCAGTTTCATGTGGTTGGGTAACCGGAGCCTGAAAGCCACTGGGTTGACCTGTTGAATGACCTCAAAGGGACCCAACCTCCTGGGTCTTAATTTCTTACAACCTCCTTTGAACGGCAACCCTCGGGTTGACAGCCACACCCTATCTCCAACCCTTATGGTTTCACCTTCCCTTCGGTTCTTGTCTGCCTGCCTCTTGTATTCTTCCTTCGCCCTTTCTAAGTTGAGTTGGAGCTGACAGTGGATTGCTTCCATTTCTTCTACAAAATGCTCGGCTGCCGGTACGCTCCATCTCTCCCCTTCTCCCCCTGGGAAAGCCCTGGGATGACACCCATAATTAGCCAAGAAGGGGCTCATCCCTGTGGACACATTCTCGGCATTGTTGTAGGCAAATTCCGCCAGCGCCAACTTTTCTACCCAGTCATTCTCTCTGTCATTGACATAACACCTCAGGTATTGCTGGAGGACACCGTTTGCTCTTTCCGCCTGCCCGTTGGTTTCAGGGTGCCGGGCAGTCGAAAAGTTGACCTCCACCTGCAGTAAGCTCATGAGCTTCCTCCAGAACCTGGAAGTAAATTGTTTTCCTCGGTCTGAGACCACCCTCAATGGCACCCCGTGCAACCTAAAATGTGTTCTACAAATAACTTCGCTGTCTCTTCCGCCGTGACTGCATGCGAGCAAGCTACAAAGTGGCACATCTTTGTTAGTAGGTCTACCACCACCATGATGGCTGTTTTCCCTTTGGACTTCGGCAGATCAGTCATAAAATCTATCGACACTGCCTCCCAAGGTCGTTCTGGTGTTGGTAAGGGTTCTAATAGCCCCGCCGGCGCCCGCCTTTCCCCTTTGGCTCGCTGGCACTGCTCGCACCCTCTTACATACTCACGTACATCCTCCCTCACCTTAGGCCACCAAAATTCCCTGGTGACCAACCACATGGTTTTGTGTTGCCCAAAATGCCCGCCGTGGGGCTGTCATGCAACTGCTTGAGTACCCTCCCCCTTAAGTCTCCTTCAGGGATATACAGTGCCCCTTTGTAATACAAAGCTCCATTTCTTTCCTCGAAACCCCTTGATTCCTCTCCCTCATCCCTAAGACCTCTGAGCTTATTCTGGGCGTATTCATCATTCTCTGTTTCTTCTACCAGTTCTCTTTGTCCCACCAATGCCGCCCCACACACCCAGCGGTCCTCTGGAATGACATGTCTCTCTTCGGGTGCTCCTCCCCTCCAAATATTCAGGTTTGCGTGAGAGAGCGTCCGCCCTAATGTTCTCTGGGCCTGGCACGTAACAAATCTCAAAGTTAAATTTGGAGAATTCCTGGGCCCATCTCACTTGCCGTTGGTTGAGCACTCGTGCCGTCCTCCAATACTCTAGGTTCTTGTGGTCAGTGCACACTTGCACCTTATGTTGTGCGCCAATTAGCAGGTGCCTCCATCTCCGGAACGCCTCATGAATGGCTAGTAGTTCTCGGTCATACACCGTGTAGTTCCTCTCGGATTTGTTCAGCTTTCGCGAAAAAAAGCACACGGTCTCCACTCTGACTCCTCCTTCCCTGGCTGGAGAAGCACCGCCCCAACCGCTCTGTCTGATGCGTCAGTTTCCACTCTCATCGGTTTTTGTAAATCCACATGCAGGAGCTGTTGTTCCGAGGCGAAGCCCCTTTTAGTTCCTCAAATGCTTGCTCCGCCTCCTCCGTCCAAACGAACTTCTTCTTACTGCTGAGACAGTCCGTAATGGGCGCCGTCAGGTGGGCAAAGTTTGGGATGAACTTACGATAGAAGTTCCCAAATCCTAAAAACCTCTGCACATCCTTCCTTGTTTTGGGTGTTTTCCATTCCAGTACCGCCTGGACCTTGCCGGGATCCATGGCCAACCCCTTGTCAGACAGGCGATACCCCAGGAATTCCACCTCCTTGGTATGAAACTGACACTTCTCCAGTTTCACCCACAGCTGGTTGGCTTGCAGCCTGCTCAACACTTCTCTGACGTCTCTCACATGCTGCTCCTCATTCTCAGAATACACCAACACGTCGTCTAAGAAGGCCACACAATTCTTGTAAAGCAACGGCCCCAGGACGTGGTTCATAAACGATTGAAATGTTGCGGAGCCTGCTTGTAGACCGAAGGGCATAACTAAGTATTCAAATGCCCCTAAAGGGGTGAACATGGTGGTTTTCCATTCATCCCCCTTCCTTATTCGTATCAGGTTGTACGCCCCCCTTAGATCCAGCTTGGTGAAAATCTTTCCCTTCCGCACCCTTGTCAAAATGTCGTCAATCCTGGGCATCGGGAAGGCCACTGGTTCTGACACTGCATTTAAGGCCCTGAAGTCACACACCAGTCTCGGCTTGTTCGTGTTTTTTTGTCCACAAAAAACACTGGGCTGCCCCCCACCGCCCTGGACTCTCTGATGAACCCTCTCTTCAGGTTCTTGTCAATGAACTCTCTTAGCTCCTGCATCTCTCTGTCTGACATGGCGTACAGCTTGCCCA